TACCGCAGGAGACAGTTAAATGCCGTGCTACAGGTGCCTTCGCTACAGCATCGATGTGGGCCAACATGTAGGGCGGGTTTGTCATGCCCAGCTTGAGCATAACCTAGCCACGACACTCTCGTCAAAGCATCGCTTGCTGTCCGCACAGCCCAGGCTAATGCACCAGGCGGCATGCTCCGGCAATGAATCCGCCACACGGTTCAGCAAAGATGCAATGTTACTTCCAATGTCAAGACCATAGGCACCTTCGGACTGTGAATCACGAAGCCAACGCTTCAATTACATCTGCTTTGCGACTTGATTGACCCGGCCTGTGTCCTCGGAGGTGAGCCAAACCTCGCTGACTCCTTCGCTTACAGCTTGGAGCGCCCTTGAGACGATGGCCTTGGATGGTGCGGAGGTTTTCTGTTCGTTGTCAAATCGCAAGCGGCATGGCAAAACCTCTCGCCTCCTCCGAATACGAAGAAAGCGATCCTCGCGCGTGCTTCGTCTTGCAGTAGGAGCCTCATAACGTAAGCTGAGCAGCCACTGCGTTGACATTTATTCCCTGCAGAGAGATGGAAACAAAGCAAAGCAAAGGGAGACAGAGATAGAAAGGCAGATAGATATCAGATAACGTCTACGGTAGCTACATATATATATATGTATATATCTACATATAACGTACCTTCCCCAGACTCCATACCACAAGAATCCAAGCATAGAGAGTTAAAAGCCAAAGCGCAGTTTCCCAAGCAGCCTCCGCTGATGGGAATAATCTCAACGAAGCTGTTGCGCCGCACCTTCGGCAGGTCCAGCGAAGGCATGGAGCTCCGGTGGTTCAGAAGGCTGACGGTGTTGCCCTGCAATGCATGTTCCACCACTTCGACCACGCGATCCAGCTGCGTCACTCCAATCATGCTGACCTGAGATCCGCGGGCACTCTCTGCTGCACGACACGATTGTCCAGCTCGAAGTCTTTCAAGGACTCTGGAAGCTCGGCACATGAACTGCTGTGCTGCCGAGACACGCCCGCGAGAGACTTGGCAAGGCTTGCATCTGCCGTGGGCACACAGCCCGCTAAAACAACTGCTTTGCCAGCATCTTGGGCACTTTTGACCAAATTCACGGCATTGTCCTGGCAAGGGTAGTTCAAAGCATCGCAACAGTTCTTGGGCATGTAGCAAGGCTCGACGCTGCTGGCCTATGGCTTGCATGTAAACACCGTATCCTGGCTCGGGCCCTTGACGGTGCACGAATTGACCACCAGCGCATCAGCGTCTTGCATGGTCTCTGTCAAGGTGTAGCCGTAGTCTTGCAGAAGGCCCATCATGAACTCGCCTCGCTGTTTCTGTGAACGACCCATCCGTGCGGATATGCTTAGGTCTAGTGCTCCTAACAGTGCAAGATGCTGTCGGAGTTGTTGTGGGCGCAGCCGTAGGTCTTCCTCATTGGGAGCCAGGGTCAGGAATGCTTAGCAGCTGGTTCACTGCTGCTTCCGTCGCTTGCCATTAGTGCAAACCTACCCCCTGGCGCATCACCCTCGTAAATGTTCGAGATGTCCTTCTGGTTCTGTCGTCTATGGGCCTGACACACGGCCCATCTCTTACTCTCTGCAGCCAGGGTTCAGGAAGATCCGCTGCTTTCCAGGAAGTCGCTTTCGCACGGTCTCGTCTTCAGCCGACACTTCGGCTTTCTGCGGCAAGCGCCTCCGCACCCAGGAGAAAACGTGAACGCCCTGAGCAGAATGGCTGACCGGACAGAGTCCCACCTCCTCCTCCTGACTTGACCAGCACCCCAGTCCAAGGGCCGACGAGATCCTGCCAATTGCCCCGCGGAGGGATGGAGGGACTCGGATTCAGGCTATCGCGGCAGGCCTTCGGCGCCAAGATCCTCAAGCTCAGGTTCTGCAGAGCCTCAGAGCCGGAGCCTACTACCACCTCTTAGCACCTAAAGAAGCATCACCGAACAGCTGAACAGAGCAGATCTGGGAGTCGAGCCAGGTTCGCTGACCCCAACTGCCGCTTGACAGCCGAAGAAGAGACTGGCGAACTGCCAGAATTGCCTCAAATCAAGGCGGATCGAAACCTTAACGACGTGCCTGATGAAATAGCTCGCCTTCATTCGCCTGCCCTTATACGTGTGCGGATCTTGACCCTGACCCGTCAAGCACTTTTATCCAGGCTTCGCCAGCAGCTGATCCCGAAGACGACGGTGGCTGAGGCAAAGCCCGGCTGAGGCAGTCCTAGGACGCATTCTGAACATGCCTCAACTCCTAGACGGCTTGCGAAATCTGAATACGGAATGCAGATTTCGTACATCTCTTTGGCAACCTGAACTCTCACCATGGCCAAGCCGCAGCAGCAGAAGTATCACCGTGTCTCGGCGGCTGCCAGTCCGTCCAGAGTGCCACAAATCGAAAGCCATGGCGAATATGACAAGTCTTCACCGTCCACGGCTGTGTTCTGTCTATGGGGTTTGCTAGCTCGGGTTAGTTTGTTTGTGCGTGCACTAGCTGCTGAGGCATGCAACGCCGAGCATTCGACTTTCTGCCAGTTTCCCTCACATCTCTGCCGTCTTGCATCGCATCATGACATCTCTAGGCCGTTCGGTCTGCCAACCCTAACTGCAATGCGCTTGGCCTTCTGTGGTGCTGGCTGCATGGCTAGGCTCTGCTCTGTGAAGCACGTGTTGTCAGCAGTTCACCATCAAGAACAATAGATCGACGTACAGTACCTCACATCCAGATGTCAGCATGTAAGACACTCATTGTGCCTCGCAAAGGTCGCAGCGGGCTTTCTCTCTCCTGCGTGAGCACTGCAAAAGATCTCTCCACGCAAAAAAGAACTTGCGCATACGCATACGAGACTGGGACTCGCAGCAAGACAAGGAGGCCAGTCCCATTCATCAATGACAGCTTATCTCTTTCTGACGTACGGTAGCTAAGAACGAGCTCGGCGCGGGTCTTTTGTGAACGAGTTTCTGGCCTCTCCGATGCCGCAGCTTCTTTGGCGATTTCTTCCTGGTTGGCAGCGATGTCCCGCAGCGTTGCCGACGCAGGACATCCAGTAGCGATTTTGTCGGCACAGGGCTCCTCAGCCTGGATCTGCGCCGGATCCTTCAAAGGGTGCGGAACGGCCTCGCAGGGCTCCGAAAGCAAAAGCAGCAGGCCATGCATGAGGGATCTTGACTCGAATGCCGGTTGATGTCAGTTACCGTGGCTCCGACGCTCACTGCATTCGCCGAGTCCGCAGGCTCGGCACACTGGACAGGTGCAGCAGAGGGAACCTGCACCATTGAGACTGACACGACTTCGCAAGCATAGCCTGTAGTTCCTCAGAAGCTGAACAGATGCGCGCACCCTCAACGCTCAATATGGTAAGAGCGTGGCTGCGCTTTGGACAAAACGAACAGGAGCAACGGCAACAGCCTCCAGTGCCAAAGGATGTTCGAAGGTCTTCAGCCACAGCTACTGCCATGCCAGCATCCCGATGCGTCCAGCCTGCGGCTGGATTCCATACTGCACCAGCACGCTTGGTCTGGTACGGAGCTCCGGGGCCGCGTGTGGCACTTGATGCTGGGCCGGGTGCACTAACCGCACCACCGAATGCTGCTGCTGGCTCCAGGCAGCAGCAACATGTACAGGCCGCTGGGAGCTCGGCCAGCTCGTCGGCGCTGCCATCACTTGGCAGGGCGGTGAGCTCTCACGGGAGCGACGCACCACCGGAACCACCAAGCCACCACGTGGGCACTGCTGGGGAGTTGCCACAGGAGCTGGGAAGGCAGTCCTCCGCCAGAGCAGAGGCCCCGTACTTTCACGGGGCAGCATCTGCGAGGCAGAAGTTACCATCGGTGGGTATTGGGGACATTGAGGACTGCCAGGAGACAGGGGCGATCCTGGTGGCAACACTGGCCCCGAGGCGCTTTCTATCAGTTTGCTACCCAAGATACCTTTCGCAGAGCAGGACAGCGTCTTCCGAAGCGGAACCTGCACAGCCGTCTCGTCCGGGCGCTCTCCGCCAACATCTGAGGACTTCTCGCTTGCTGCTACAGAATCATCTCCAGCGGCTGTGGAGCCATCCATCTTGCTATCTCCTGCAGGGGTTGACGTCCGCACGTCTGTCTGCCTGTCGGCACCTGTCAAAGCCAAGATGTTCAAAACCTTCTTCTCGGCATTCTCAGCCAAAGAAGGCTCATTCAAGGCAATGAAAGGCTTGGCACGAGACCTGGCAGGGGCACGACTGCACCAGCGCTCATGCGTAGAGACGCAGAAGCTACTGCCGGCTCCTACACGGCGCAGAAAGTGCATAAGAGCACCGAAAAGCGCCCGTTCCCAGAGCTAAGCACGAACGACACCTGCGCGGCGAAGCGTGTGAAGGTGAGGCCGGGCTTGGAGAACCGGCTCTTCCTGCAGCTGCACTCATCGTCCACTCCAACAATCTCGGAACACCCCCTTGCAGTGCATACCTGGGGCACTGGTGCTGCGCCGCAAGCTGCGAGGCGCGAACATGGCTCCAGGCCCGTGGCAAATCAAAGAGAAATTGTCTGCTCATAGCGGGGCTATGTCAGTTCTGGGCCTGTGGCACAGGGACAGACATAAGCACCATGAGGCCACGTGAGGCTAGATGTGGGCTTCTACGGGAGTCGCAGCATTGCCAAGAACTAAGTGCTGGCGTTTACTAACTAGCAATATCACTCTTCGTGGTGTTTTGGAAAGCTTGGAGTTTGCCAGACAATTGAATCTCGCAGGGGCCCTGTACATGACCCGCAACCTTCTCATGGATGCAGCTCCAACACACTTCACAACAGGCACAAGTTACACCTGCGAGAGAAATTCATCGCAGACAGGACAATGCCGACAGTCAAAACAAGGACCGCTGCAAAAGGCCCCACACACACACACAGACGAAGTGAAGGACAGCACGAACTAAGAGCCAGCAGCACCCAGATGCCAGCGTAGTGCAAAATTATTGCCATTGCTATCCAACGTGTCCTCCCTGTCTTGTCTCTGAGAAGCTCACTGCTCAAACTGGTGACAAGGACATCGGCCTCAAAGCAGAGCAGCACCAGATGGCTCAGGTCATGGGATGAGCAAAGTTCGGACTGGCAGCCTCATTACACTGAGCAGGCAACACGTGCCATGCAGAGCAGCGCCTGCCGTGGGTTATTGTTCCTCAGTCTCTCCCCCAACCCTCTCGGCACCTGTCTCTCTTTGTCTGGAAATCTGCCACTGAGGTCCCGGCACAACCACGTGAACCTGCTTACTCCATCTGTTCATGTTGTGTCCACGCGGTCAGTCACGGTCGATCTGTCGGTGCTCAGCGTCACCTCTGGCAGAACCAGCGCGCTGCAGGCCGGATCCACCTTCCAATTTCAAATCGGACCCCAACTCTTTTTCAAAAATCTGGAGATAATCTTGGCGAGAGGTCAGAACTGTAGCAGCAGCTGACTTTCCGTGTCCCGATTCTGTGTGGCGGAAATCTTCTAATATGCTGGTTAGCAGCAGGACAGAAAGACATGTCCAACACACAAAGCAGATCCGCGACAGTGCACGGGTGAGCCGGTTAAGAAAAGGCACCTCCAATTTAGCCAAGGTGTGGAAGATCGGCCTTGGCTCGAGCGCATTTCCACCAATAACACGTCTCAATGACATGCCCACGTCGCGGGCGGGTCAGAAAATGCCATTAGTTATGATGGCTAGCATAGTAGTAGTAAACGCAACAAGACCAAAAACCTGTAAAAATGTACAGTCATGAAAGACTTGACACTTCGGAGTTCTAAGATGCCGGCAACTCGTCGACAGCTGATGGTGCAAAGACAAAGCCTGGCAGACCCACCTTGAGACACTTGCGGTCACTTCCAGTGTCTACCTAGGCAACTATTTCTCTCTCTCTTTTTCTCTCTCGCTCTCTCTGCAGGTATCTGATGGGTTTGTCTTCTTTAATGTCTACATAGTATAAGTGATCATAGGCTATCCTCATCCCCACCTCCGCCCCCAAAAGAGGTGTGGGTTGCTAGTTTTTGTAACACGGTGAGACTCAGCCTTTATCCCTTACTATTGATTTTCACTCACCCGAATCCCAATGCGCCGAGCCAAGATCCAGAGTCTCCCCAGGAGCATCGGGGGTTGGGGAGTCTTGGATCGGGGGTCCCGCTGTGCTCCGCTGTGGCGAGCATTGAAACACAGTGGAGCACGCTACAATAGGTAATAGGTGTCCGTATGAGTTTCCGCATACAGCATGGCAGTGCTCTCTCTTACGTGGTGCTGCCACATCATGTGCTGTAACATACGAGCTCGTTTTTGCAACTTGTGCTTTCTGATGGAATTTTTTGCCTCTCACCTAGCTGACCTAGAAAGGTCGAGCCTGCATCGACTCGAGCCCCGGGCTTTCACCAGTGTGTCGCGGCTTTGCCCGACTGCCTCCGTGAAGACCTCAGGCACGGCGTTGGTCTGCGAGATGCCGTCAGCCGAGATCTCCAAGGGCGCGAACATGGATGGCAAGCCGAACGTCTAATGGCTCCTTGGAAGCCACTCAAGCTTTATTCGATTCGTGGGCTTCGGGCCTTTCGCCAATCTGAGGCAGCAGCCGCCACTGCCCTAGCGAGCCCGCACAGCCACCTTTATGTTCCGGAATTCTATGACAGAGGCTGAACCACTGGCAATTCCAACTTTACTCCGGCCTGGAGAAAGCTGCCGGTTCCAATTGCTGCCTCTCGCTCAAGATCTATTCAGAATCTCAAGCAACACCAAAAAGCTAGCAGCAGCTTAGCGAAAACCGAACTGTTCCCGCCAGACCATACAAGTACTACAACGGGAGCTCAAACCAGAGCAATCTGCATCTGCCGCAAGAGTTGCCAAACTTCTCTGTGCACGTGCACGCGCTTTCTCGGCTCGGCGAACAATTCAAACAGACCTTCGGCTGCTCAGCCTCCGACGTCAGTGAATAGCCAGCAGCTTCTCCAACATCACCACGACGCACCTCGTTCAAGAGACTGAGAAGCTCTCTCGTGTCGGACAAACTCTCGGGCTGCGACGTGCAGTGCCACGTGCTTTACGTCGCTGGGGCCTCCATAGCCACAACCAGCCTCAAGAGGGCACGGGTTCCTGTGACCGCTCTCCGAACATCCAGATGTCCCCTCCCAAGCCTCGCGGCGTATGGGCAGGACCTGGGCTGCGGCTTTCTCGAGAGATCGATTCTGTGTTCTTCTGACTGCGAGACGTTCCCTGCCTCGCCTTGCTGGGCGACGCGAAACTTCGCACGGAGGAGAACAACCGACGAATCTCCTGGGACCGACCGGGTCACGGACGTGAAAGAAACGTGGCCAGCTGGTGCTGCAGGAGTGCTTGCGGATGTGTCGCTCGGTGCCCCGGCTGGACGCTCTCGGAGCCTGCCCTCCTGGCACAAAAGCTCGAACTTCTTTCGTTCCAGGGCCCCCCCTTTTCCATTCATGATACAATAAGAAAGCCTTCTTCAGCATTTGCCACGGAGGTCCCTCCAGCGTGCCTGTCGGCCACGAGAGTGTGACACAGTTTGACAAGGTCCGCGCCCAACGCAACTTCTAGGGCCTTGGAAGAATAAGCCTGGCCGCAAGGGCACGAAATCGACGCCCCTCGAAGGGTGCCCTCCATTGCTTTCTTGGCTCAGGTCGAGGCATCGGAAGTCCGACTTCGGAGATGGCCCCTTTCCCAGCCTGGCTCGAGGCCAAGGCACTCAAGGAGGTCTTCGGTGAACTCCGAAGGTTGACATGTGCCTCTGGAACGAACACTCAACAGCTTCTCTCCCGCTTGGCACAGCTCTGCCATTCGGCAATCCTGTCTAAACGGCCTATCTATGCGCACGTTTTTAACGTGGCTGCCTGGTCAAAACTGCCCTAATGTGTGGAAAAAGAGCGAGGTCTTTCGACCAGCATGCATTAAATTGTCTGCTTAGGTGCAATATGTACTGACCACCTTCCCGCCTGCTACCAATGAAGCCCATTGCCCAGCTAGTCGGTCCATGCGAATACATCCAGGACATAGTGCACACATCATGCCGCAGAGGGCGTGCTTTGAGCACTTGGGCCTTCGGCGTAGCCCTCCACCTGCCCTCGATCCTGAACTTGCTTCGCAAGCTGGAGAGGGCATACAAAATTCTAAGCCTCCACTCCTGCTGCTCTAAGACTACATCACTCAACCCAATGACAACGCAACGTTCGCCAATCCGCTGGGATCAACCCTTTGCTGTGTCGACTTCGGGCTCCTCGTCTTTCAGCTCGGCTTCTTCGCACCACTCTTCGAAGACCCTGAACCTGAGGACCTGTTTTTGGTTCCCAGGTACATCCAGATCACCAAACCTGGCGCAGAATACCAAAGAAGCATCACATAAAAGTCAGATTGGCCCTCGACACGAATCTGGGCTCGAGCGATGCCCGGCGAGCGGAACGTGGATGATATTCGCTGAAGCAAACCATTGTCTTTAAGCCGGGGAGCCCATCAACTGTGATGACGTTCAACTTGGGTGTCAGGATGACCAGCGCGGGATCCTAGGTCATGCAAGGTTGGAAGTGCTTTGGCTTTGGTGCCGACGCTGCTGGACGATGAGTGTGCGGCTGTTCGGTTTTCGAACAGTGTGTGGAAGCGCCTCCACAGGTAGTCCCGTTCCTGAGCCGAAGCGACATGGCGCGGACACCCCAATCCAGATGCGGCTTGCAACTTGCGCCGGGGGGCCCAGGGGCAGTCAAAGGGCATCACCATCCACGGGGCAGGAGGCCCGGGTCGACCTACCGTCCGTGTGAAGCACTCCTCACGTGGCAGGTGCAACATTACATTGTCACGAAATGGTAACAGCATGAGGAAGCACGCTCGCATAGCTTGCAGACAACGGCTTCCAAGCAGCCCAGTCAGTGTCGAAGCTGCAGACCGCCACTTCAAACTTCTGGCTGGGCTTGCTTAGGATGTCTGGGTCACGAAGGTCAAGGTACAACCTTCATCGGCAATGCACAAGTTGCTTTGCGACTGGACAAGCATCGGACAGATTTATCGACACGGCGATCAGATAAGTGCCCGTACGAGGCCACACGCTGAAGGAGCTCCTTTGCAGATAGATTTATACCAATACGTACTGTCTCTTGGCTTTGCATCATCGCTTCGTCGATTCGCTTCCCGGAATCCCCGGCTCCCTGTTGTATTGGAGGAGTGTGGGAGGGTAGAGCTGCTTGTCCTCGGTTCAGACAGGAACAGATTTGTGCTGCGCTAGGTTGGGGTGGTGGCAATGACAAGCAAAGCCCAGACGCAATGGTGCTGGAGGTCATGAAGATAATGCCGAGGATGTCAGCATCGCCCTAGGGGTGTCTCAGCTTAACCCATCCGTGCTCAATCCCGACAGCAGGCAGTCTGTGGCTAAACCGACGAGAAGCAAGGGCAACCGTCGTGGAAATCGGAAATTCCCGATAAGCGGTACCTTTCAGCAGGTCTTCGCCAAAGAGGCCGACCAATCCTGCACGAAATTGCACAACTCTACACACAGCTCAGATCGCAAAACTTGCCTGCCTTCGTGATCACTCGGAGGAGTCGCGGCAACTTGCTTTACGAGCTTGTGCCCTTCTTTATCGTTTGTCAGAAGCTGACTCACGATCCTAAGCTCGTTCATGCCATCTGTCTGACAAACGCTCTCATCCGCGACTGCTTCCAAGTAGCTCCTCATAACCCAGCCGCCCTCATCAAGACCAGGATCACAGCGTAAACAACAGGCCGCAGGCGACAAACGCAAGAGGTGCAGCTGACAGCAGCTGACAACTCGGAGCACCAAATCCTCAAACTTCTGATCTGCCAGGTCGCGGTCGCGGTCCCCTCAGACTCGGCAGAACCGACTAACTGCTGACTTCTGCTGTGAAAACAACTTCCATCTTCAACAGCTGCTACGAAAATCGACATTTGGCGAAGCCGCCATCGAATCTGACAAAGATGTCTTCCATCGCTTGTCTCGTCCAGCCGGAAGGCTCGAGCCTTGCCATCATTTGACCTGTGCAGGGCTCGACGTCCATGATGGTTCACGAATAGCCACACTGATGGACTATAGTGCCAAATGCAGACACACCACTGCGGCTAGATGAGCCATGTTGCTCCATTCCTCCTTGTCGATGAAACCATCGGCATTTCGATCTATTCGATAGAATGCCTTCCGCGCACACAGGGACAGAGTGTACGGCACCCAGCCGATGCTGAAAGGCTGTGTGCCTGCCGGAGGAGGTCGATCGCTTCGTGGCGGTCGATCTGATCGTACCACTTCTCGAGCATTTTTTCGGCCTTCCTGAGGCGGATTTCGACTTTTCCCTCCTACTGCAACTTCACAAGGCCGCGGCGGCCGCAGTAGCCGCAGTAGCTGCAGTCCAGTCCACTCGAGTAGGGCTTCCTCCACCTCCCACTTGCGTGCGTTCTCCATCCTCAGTGCGGCAAGCATCCGAACACAAGCTGGCATTGTCTGGTGACTGGAGTGACTAGAAGTTAGCCACTTCGGCTCAAGTGGGACTGGGAGAAGCGCAGGGCAATCAGTCGTTCTGCATCGGATCGACGGGCATGACTCGGCAAGGGCAAGCAGCCCCTCTGCAATGCCTGGCGGCACCGCGGCAGCGTAGGCGCGGGCCAGTCTTGGCCAGCTGACTATAGGTGGTGGTATCGGTCAGGGACACAAATCAAACAGGGAGCCTTCGCCGCCTTTTCCTTGATCTCATGAGGCTCCAGAGGCAGTCGGCCCATCACCCTTCAAGTACAGCTTGGATGCCGAAACTTGATAACAAAGCTGTCCTGTAACCTGTATTAAATAACGCGACTCGGCACAATCTGTTTCGGCTACTTTGCGGGTGGTTGAAGTCTGTGTAAGCAAGCCTGGAACAAAAGAAGCTACGATGCAACACGTGTCTTCAGCATTGTCTTTGACTTGCCAAAGCCGGACTGCGAACAGAAGAGCACAAGAGCTGTATGGGCATGCGATTATGGAATTCAGGAGCTGGCTCAGAAGAGAGCTCCACTGTTTCCTGCGTTCCAGAACAGCACATCGCAGAAGCGGCCGGCAACGGCGTTCATATGCTGAGATGGCCTCCGCACCCCAAAGAAGCAAACGACCTTCTGGCTCCTGCAGAGGCCGGATCATCGGCCCTAGTTTCCACGAATTGGTAGGCTGCCTTTGCTTACCAATTCTACATAAAAACTGCATATATTCCTGTGGGGCAGTGTCAACATGCAATCGCTGACCAGTGATCCTTACTGACGCCTTCAGGATCCTTCAAGCATCTTATGTCGTTCCTTCGTCTGCAATTCCGCTCCTCGCGGGTGTTCTGGCATGTTGCGGACGCCAGTCGTTGTTCTTGGGATGACTTGGGCTCGCTGTCGCTGTCGGGCTTGCCGATACGCGATTTTTTTTGGGGGGAACGCCAGATTTCAGAGTGCTATCACTGGAGAAAAGCAATCAAGACTGGCGCCTTCTGAACAATCGGACTCACCGTCCTGCGTCTGTTCTCGCAACAAACGATCGGAACAGAAGGTGAGGGGCAAATCACTGCAACGCCGCGGTGCTGAAAGGTCGAGGCATGCGAAAGGTCAAGGCCGTGGGCCAAGGCAACCACAGGAACACCGAAGACATGCACAAATGTCGCTTCTTGTAGACTCATTGCAGACCCAGCCTCGCTCTGCGCCAGGAAGTCTTGCTGCAAATCGAAGTGCCAACAACGCGGCGGATACCTCCCAGCGAGGTATACGCCATGCAAGCGCGTCATGCAGCATTGCCACGTGTGCTCTGACGCTCTCTGACGCTCTCTGACGCTCTGACTCGGGATTCCATGGATCCGGTCGACCATCGGCCGGGCTCTCGTGACACCACACGGGTCGCCTCGGAGCTCCGGCGCCAAAGATTTCCAGACGCCAGAAATCGAAGCCGAGGCCGAGGCTCGAAGCCAATCGGATGCCTCGTCTTTAGAGCATACGCGATAAGGCTTTACATGGCTTTACGCTTTGATTGGAGATGTGAGATAAGAGAGCCTTTCACTGACACAGCTTTGCACGGTTCTGGCCGCGTTGCAGAAGACCCCCCGCGGGTGGCAACGACAGCAGCGCAGCATGAAAGCCGATGACCAGCGAGGCAGCGACTAGTTCCAGCGCCTTCCTCAAAAGCCAAGCGGTGCACTTCTGCTGTGCTTACTTGGCGCATGGAGCGAAGCCAAGCAGCTTAAAGCGGGCCCCGATTCCATCCTGACGGAGGGGTGCAACAGTTTGCCACCGCACTCCAACACCTTCAACGCGATCCTTTAGAGATATCCAGTCCAAGACGACCAGTGGTGTGATTATGGCTCGCCATGCTCGCACATATCTAGGCAGAAAGCGCTTTGACGTTCGAGGGACAGGAAGAACTCCTGGTGACTTGATAAGTCGCACACAGTCCCTGACCTCGCCTGGCGGTTCTTGGGTTGCCCATCACTGGAACATAACTCATAACCGCCTGTGCATCCTGTTGGAGCATCTGCGGTGCTCCGGCTGGCCCCTGTCTGTGTTCGCCGCCGTCGTTGTACGTCCGACTTGATCTGGAAAGCGTCTCTGGGAGTCTCGTGTCGGATTCGGCTCCTGTGATGTCGACCGTCGGCATTCTTTCCGAGTGCGAGCCGCAAGGATCCTGATCCCGCGAGGCAGTAGCAGCAATAGTAAGAACCAGAAGAGACACTTGGAAGGACGAGATGGGCAGATGATGTCGCGTCGAAGGGAAAGAGGATGGAAGGGATAGTTCAAACAAAGTTCCGAGACGATGGTGAACACCACGTCCAGAACAACGGACATCACGGTTGTGGCATGGCAATTAACGTTCGAAAGTTTAGGTCCTAGGTTCGACATCTACGACATCGGGTCCACTAGTTTATACTAGTTTTATGGTGAAGCAACCACGTGGCTGCCAATCAAGAAACGATCTGAGGGCCTCAATGAAGCCTCCAACTTGCTGTAATTCGGCACGTGTAGACACGCACTACTATATGACTTGCAGATGCTTCTGATCACAAGCACAGTTGTCAGATCTTTCTCGGGCTCTTCGCCTGACACGGTCTTCTTGGATGACACTGTTCAACATAAGGTCACAGTCCATACCCAGTGTGGTGTCTCTGCTTCTTTCCTGGAAAGCTGGAAACTGCAGCCTATCACTGTTTCACGACTTTCCGCTTCGTGGAAATCGCATGCAAGTAAGAACGACCGTCTTCTTCTCATACTGCGCACCATGTACTACCCAAGTTGGGCAGCCTTAACCTATCACCCATGTGGTGGAAAACACGTATGAGAAGCAGACCTGGTCTGCAGCCTGCGTGTTCATGAAAAGCTGTGTGGACGTTGAAGGGCGTGGGCGGTTCTGGCACACAACTGGCAGCAATGGTTGTGAGTTATGACTCTCTCCGACTTGCTCCAATGATTAACGAATCCTTTCGGCAGGCTTGGGGATTGTTTTGTTCACAAACTCAGTCCGAAAACTCTTGCGACAAATGCAGGCGGCCTCTAGCTCATCTGCATGAAGCAAAATGACCTGGTTGCATGAACGGCTGCAAACCCAACGCAAAAGAATCACCAAAGTGCCATAGACGGACCCCCGCCTGGCTGGCAGCGCCGCGAATCCGTCCACGCAGCTGCTCGAGCTGCTCCTCTGTCTGGGGGAACTCTGCCGCCTGTGCAGTAGCAGTAGCACGAGCACTCGCCCTGGCAGCGCGAAAGCTGGCAGCAGCATCAGCAGAAGCCGCAGCGGCAGCAAAGTAGTGGTATTAGTCGTCGTCGGCCTCGTCGTAGAAAGCGTGGTAGTGAGTGGTAGCGGCCGTCGTCGTAGTGGTCGTCGTCGTCGTAGTCTAAGCCTAAGTATGAGCATGAGCATGAGCCAAAGTATGAGTGTGAGCATGAGCCTGACTAGGAGCACGTGTACGAGTACGAGTACAAGTATGAGTATTACAGTAGTAGTAGTAGTAGTAGTAGTAGTAGTAGTAGTAGTAGTAGCAGTAGTAGTAGTAGTAGTAGTAGTAGTAGTACTAGTAGTAGTAGTAGTAGTAGTAGTAGTAGTAGTAGTAGTAGTAGTAGTAGTAGTAGTAGTAGTAGTAGTACAAGTAGTACAAGTAGTACAAGTAGTACAAGTAGTACAAGTAGTACAAGTAGTACAAGTAGTACAAGTAGTACAAGTAGTACAAGTAGTACAAGTAGTACAAGTAGTACAAGTAGTACAAGTAGTACAGGTTGCACAAGTAGTACAAGTACTACAAGTAGTACAAGTACTACAAGTAGTACAAGTAGCACTGGCAGCAGCAGAAGAAGTAGTAGCAGCAGCAGTAGTAAGAGGAAGTGGTAGTGGCAGCGGGAGTGGTAGTCTTAGTGGTAGTGGCAGCGGCAGTGGCAGTGGCAGCGGGAGTGGCAGTGGGTGGCACTGGCAGTGGGAGTGGTTGTGGTAGTGGTAGTGGTCGTGGTAGTGGTAGTGGTGGTCGTGGTAATAGCAGTAGTAATGATAATAACACAAACAATAAATGATGGTAGTAGTGCTAAAAGTAGTAATAGTCGTAGTGGTCAGTAGCAGTAGTCGTAGTTGTTGTTGCGCCTCACACACATTAGATCCTGGACCTGTCATCGGGCTGGGTTGGCAGCTTTCAGATCCACGCTTGCTCTGACGAATGCATGCACAAAGAGTTTCCCATGTTCACCAGCCTCCAAGCTTGAGCAGCGAGCCTCGGGCTTTTCCATGCAGTATCACATCGGTCTTGTGTGCGGCTGGGTCCGCCTTTACAGCGGTAACTCAGTGCAGGGTCTCATGATGCCGAACGTGTAGATCCGTCAGAAGAAAAGAGGGTCGGTGCCCCTTGTGCTTATGGATCCTTCCCCTCTCCCCCTTTTCCCTTTTCTGATGTGCCGGGCCGAGAGGCGGCCAGAGCGGCGCGGGTGCGCCAGGCTGGCCCTCGCAGCGCCGCTCCGGCGTGGAGCCGCTCTCGGCCATCTCAGAGAGGCGCCCGAGAAGGTGACCGTTTGGGGAAATCGCAGTTCACGTGTGCTCTGGATTTTCTGAAGGTCGTGCTTCAAACATTGGTGCAACAGAAGACATGCAGGCTTCGTTGAGAGCCATGGCCTCTTTCCGCCACGGCGACCACCTCCTCCAAAGGTACCAGATCGGCTGCTGCGGTGCTGTTCAGCTGTTCGATGCAGCTTGCTTGACTCCTGGGCGCAAGCCATGGCCCCATCCAAATGTTCTTATCTTCAGATGAGTGCAGAACGCGAAGCAGTCATCTTTGCGTGCTGTCTGCAGCAAGACCTTGAACACTGGTCAGAAGTTGGGACGCAGCACATGTCTGGCCAAATACTACACTCCGCACTTATGCCGGGAAGCTGCAGCATCGCAGTCGCGTGAATCGTAGCAGGTCTCCTTATCCTCACCCCTGGTGCTGCACGATGCCTCCGGCGCTGCATCCGCAGCCAAGCTGGGACTGCCAGCGAAAAACAAAAACCCTGCAAGAGAGTGACGGCCTGGTGGACCTCAGCCCAGAGCGCCGCCTTATGAGGCATGACAAACTGGTTGTGACAAATGTCAACAAAGACATCAGAAACGGAAACGAGATCCAGGGCCTTCCAAAGCTGAAACAGGACAGCCACTGGCAACAGAAACTTCGAGCTTGCGGCAATTGCCAGCAAACTTCCGCTGCCCGCAAGCGCGCGTCGCATCTGAGCATGCTGCCGCAGGACTCTTAGCCGTGGGACGCGGTTCTCAGAATGTACCGACCTTTCCTTCCTTGGTCTTTGCTTTCTCAAAATTAGTCTCCCGCGGGCGCATGGCTGGGAAGGTGCTGCAACCCATGCCAATTGCTGTGCAAAACGCACTGAGCCCAGCTCCTGCGGATGCCCAATGCCCAGCTACCTATAAATGCGTAAGCTTGGCAAGTACTTTCAGCACCGGGCTCCGTCAATTTTTGGCCGTGCAGTGGGCCTCACTGTGAAACGAGGCACCGGCGTGCTCGAGGATCCTTTGCCAATTGCTTTCGCTAGCTGCCGCACCCACACATACCCACACAAAAGCTATTCCCGATCCGCCGACTGACTTCAAATCGGCCCGAGTGCTCAAAAATTAGTTTCAAGTCGACTCTGTCCGGCATCACTCAGCTGGCAGTCGGGATGAGAGCTGACAGCTCCCTGTGGGCAGTTGAAAAACATGTTTACAGTTACTACACAGGTGCGGCTTCTGCATACTGCCACCGCAACAAGGGCAAGGCCCCACTGCAGTTTTCAAAAACTGCTGACGAGCTGTGCCGGGACTCCAACGCACCCGCAGCTACCAATGCGTCCGGGGTTCAAAAGATCCACATCCATCCGGGCGACAAGCTTGTGCAAGTCTCCGTCTCAGGATCACAGACACCAAAATTAGACCACTTCTCTTAACCTGTCGCCCGAAGCCCATGTACGGGCGCTGGCTCCTCGTGTCTTGAAACATGAGGAGCGGTGCCCGAGAGACCCGTGGTTTAGGCGGAACATACCGGCAACCACAAAGAAGTGCGACACGCGGTGCTCAGTGCTGAGACTCAGATTTGTTAGGTGCTTTTTGCTACCGAGTGGTCGCATCACCACACTTTCTGTAGGTGAAACATTGGTCAAGTCAATCCTTCCACGGCCCGAGATCGAACCGTGGTGAGTCGGTGTCCGTCTGCGGCGGCGCTGGTGGCATGGCAGGCGCTGCACGGGGCACCACAGCAGCACCAGTCCTGGACAGCAAATCGATCGCAAAAGGCTGCGTTCGACAGTATGCCTCTAGAACTGCACCTAGAACAGCACCCAGAACAGCACCGGTGAATGCCGAAGCACCTTTCGCCTCTTGCAGTGGGGTATTCCTTGAACCTTGGCTGCTGATTGTCCAGCTTGCACGGAGCAATACACACAGAATTTCATGATGTGTCTTCCCAGCTCCAGATGGAAAGCTTAGCCAAGAAGCTTGTTCGACAGATGTCCTTGGAGTTCTCGAGCAGCACCCGGGCCAGTTGCCCTCTCATGTGGCCTCGCGTAGCGGCAAGGGAAATCTGCGCAACCTGAAACTTGATGGTGTGCTTCTCAGCCAGACTCTGGCACTCACAATGCTGCGCATCTCGAAAGAAGACCTAACCAGCTAACCTGCGTAACTTGAAATCGGCAAAGACATCGGAAGGAATGGCGCTGCATTTTTCAAGGCAAGACTCCGCTCGTGCAGGAATCTGTCGGAGACCCACGCCAACTTCATGGCGGCTACCACCTCCTGCAGACGTTGCCAACGGCAGCCGAAGCAGCTGAAATTCGGGAAAAGTGAGACGACACTCGTTGGGCGAACCGGTGCACCTGATGTAGATCGGATGCGTCCTTTGCTGGGCAGTGCCGGGAAGCTGAAGGGTTACAATGTCGTTTATCTCATGCCAAAGCATACGGAAGCGACTCCATGTGCCCCCAAAGCTCATGCTGGGATAGTATCCTTAAAATCAAACCGCATTGGGATATATAGGTCTTGCTGCAAAGGTACGGCAGGTCGACCTGCAGCGACTTGTGCGGCCTGTGCGCAACTCACAGGGGCAAACAGTCACCGTACATTCTCGAAGTCTGCATCCAAAAAATGGTTTGGGATAATAGCCTGATGTCGATTCATGTTATCAAAGCTGGAAGCCATTGCGGCCTGCTGCGCCGTCACGGCAATGCCCCGCGCGAGGTCACTGCGGACCTGCCGGCAACGATCATAACGGGAAGTGCCTGACCCTTTCCAACGAAGTTTCTAAATGAGACGAACACCACATTGTTTGTTCCGGGCAGATGGCCTGCCAAAATTCTTGCGCCAACTCTTCCTGACATGAGTAGGCTCTGAAATTTGAGGCCTCACGTAGACTCCTAGTCAATCCAAAACTTGGCCAGACCAAGAGAATCCAAGCTGCTCTGAGAGATTTAAATAGATCCTGGCTGGGAGCATGGGCGACAGTGCAGCTTCTGACATTACACGCACGAAAGTTGCCACGGCAATGCGAAAGTTTCAACCCAGCTCCGTGGCCCAGATCGGAGGCATCTGCGTCTCCAGAGCTCCCCGAGGCTCTGGCTCCTGAGTTCGTCAACGTTCTCCAAAGCCAAGATGGCAAAGCTGTAAGCCCTGTAAGCAAAAGCTCCAAAAACCGCAGTGCCGCCCAAGGGTCCATGACTGGCTCCCTGCAAGGCTCGGAAAGTGCGAAGGCTCAGGAAAGAGCAAATGGCATCACTCTTACAGGATCCCCTTTTTGAGGCTCGGGCTGGACTGACCCTGAACCCTACTTGCATCAGTTAAAGGGATGGCAGCGCCTTGACTTCGCCTCCTCTTCGAAAAAGATTCCTCTGCGCTTGTTCTTCGCGTCCCTGACATCCTGGGACACCTCAATACCACAGGCGAAGTTTGCTCTGACAAACTCGGGAGAGCACCTGTACTTCAAATGCTGCCGAGGTGCGGTTGACAGTTGCACGCTTGAAGTCGACAATGTTGACCCGGCACCCAGGGTCTGGACAAGCAGTCCCGTCAACTTGTCCACGGACAGCTGCAAGGCCCTCGTGCCAAAAAGCAGACTGCAGAGAACTTGCAAAACATCCTGCTCCTGCAGCTATGAGCTTGCTGGCCTGACTTCTTTTCTTAGCTGCTTGAAGTTCTTGTCGATACGCTTGAACTCCACCGACCGATCTGAGGTGACGGCCCTCGGGGCGAGCAGCGCCGGGGCCCAGAAACCGGGGGACGGAGATCAGCAGAATCCACATGCTGCAAAACTTTTCTTGCGACACCGCTGCTGGATGACCCCCTCACAGAATTCGTCGATGTTGAGCTGCCCGGAGTTATCTATATCCAGCATGCCTTGGCCGAGCTGGCAGCGCCATGAAACGACACCGGTTGTGTTGATCTTGGGCAGGTCACGAAATATCTCCAGCGGACTCTCCAGCGTCAAGAACTTTTTCAAGAGCATCTGGTCCTCTTCTGTAGCCTAAGTGCTGGGCGGCATACCGGCTCCCATCCAACCCGCGCCGCTGAGCAGCACGCCTCCATGATCTCCGCCAAAGTGATGGTCCCACTGCCATCTTCATCTAGGCCTGAAGGCTTCGAACTACATAGCCAAAAATCTGAGAACCGCTGCCACCAGGTGGCGCGAGAACATCCCTCGGAGCTCATCGATCGTCTTCTTCCGACGCTTGTTCTCCTCCCCAGGCCAGGATTTCCAGCCTATCTCAACTTCACCGCAACCCAACACCGCTCCCCCATGTCCTGGATCCTCTGTATCTCTTTATTGCTCGAGGCCTGGCTCATGGAAAAGATCCCTCACAGAAACTACTTGGTACTCACGAGTCGCCGCTAGGATCTGCCCAAGAAAGTCCGCCAGGGCCCAAGGGCCCCAGGGCCCCAGGGCCTGCTCGAGCGCGCTGTTGACGATCACCGCCTGAGCTCAGAAAGGTGGGGGTGGCGACTCGGCGACTCCGGGATGTGACTCGGGCGGTGATGAGATTCATCAGCACCTGGGGGCGAAATGGGCGGAAACGGACTCTTTGTCATAGCCGCTCTCGCTCAGAGCTGAGATGCACACGATAGAGATCACCAGCACCAAGCCTCCGATTCTTGACTTGTAGCTCCGCTTTGACTTTCATAGGAAAGGTAAGTGGCAACTGCCATACATGCAGCCAGAGTGGCCGCCGAAGTAGACGGCCAAGCCCGGATCCACCTGGAACATGAGATGCTGTGAACGATAACCACCACTGTACGATGTTTGTCGGGCTCGGCAATGCCAGACAGAGCCTTGACAAGAGGCTTGTAGACATTGGCCATGGAGTCTAATGTGACGAACTGAACCTGCAGGTCCAATATTTCGGATCGATACCGGGTCATCCGCACACGCCGTCGACTGCTGCACATGCACAGGAAGGCATGTGCGTGCAGGTTCCGAGTGTTCAATGAGACCAGAAAGCAAGACGTCGCTGTGGCGATCTCTCGTCAAGCCACAAGCGTCACGAATGTCACGAAGAGATTGCCGAAATGCTCATTGGCAACCTTTCTTCCCAAAGCGCACGTGAGCCACAGCTGCATTGACAGAACCCCTGCTCGATCAACACGGAGTGTTTGGGGAGCGGAACTGAGTCGCTGGCATCATAAAATTGAGGGTCTGTCGCCTCATTTTTGGCCATGGGGTGGTTGGTGATAACCTCCACCTCAATTTCCGGAAGAAGCTGTGACATTCTGCAGCGATGGCAGCAGCAGCAGTAGTGGCAGCAGCAACAACAACATTTACATCTACATCTACGTCTGCATCTGCATCTACATCTACATCTACTACTACTACTACTACTACTACTACTACCACCACTACGACTACGACTACGACTACGACTACGACTACGACTACGACTAAGACTACGACTACGACTACGACTACGACTACTACTACTACTACTACTACTGATGCTGCTACTACTACTACTACCACCACTACTACTACTACTACCACCACTACGACTACTGCTACTACTACTACTATTGCTGCTGCTGCTACTACACCTACTACTACAACTACTACAATACAACTACAACTACTACTTCTTCTTCTACTACTACTAAAACTAGCAGCCCCTGCCACTGCCTCTGCCACTGACACTGAACTGACACTGACACCGCCACCACCACAGCAATGACTACAATGACGAAGGCAAGGACAACGAGACTTCAGACTACCTTGGACCCTGCAGCGAGCACCGAAGCCGACATGCTTTAATAGATGCGGTCGACTGCATAGTGCACATGGCTCTCGCATGGGACCTACTTGCGGCATACCCTGCCCCTCGCCCCCCTGAAGGTGCAAGCTCTGCTTTGCACCGACTGGTGCGTAACTTGAATTCAGCTACTCCACGAAACCAGTGAAAGCAATCCCCGGTGAACAAAGCCATCCCATGTAACATCGCATCTTTTCTTTATGCTTGGTCGCCTTGGTGACCAAACCAAGATCTTGTGCCAGCCTCGAAACCTGCTGAAACTACCCCTGTTTCGAACATGTCATGAACCCGTGTGATTACACATCTCAGTACTCCCAGATGCCAATGGCATGACTGGTGCTACATCACGGCTTATACTGTCTTGCCAACACGCTTGCTATTTTCCGTGCTCAACGCCCGCGAGTGCCAATTCCACACGGCAGCACCCACGTTTCAGTGCAGCCCCCTGCCAACCCCCATTTGTTAGCATGGTGCCCTCTCAATCTCTTGCACGGTACTGGCATGCTGCCGTCTCACATTCGTGCCGCGCTCTTGCAAGACATTTCCTCCATTTGGCACTGCTACAAGTACGACGGAAAACATGATTGAAGGATGCCGGGGTGCGAAGAGCAACGAGAACCTTGGATGTGCACTCTCTGCGGCTCGCACCATGGCGATGGCACACAGAGCTGGCAGCTGCCACTGACATGCAGGTACGACATTGGGCTTCCTTCGCCTCTCTTTGCATGATAGCATGCGCACACGTCGAACACAGACTCTGAACTGCCGGCGAGCAGGATTCAATCCGAGAGGCAGGTACAACACCGTGACTAGCAACCTGATAGAACTTAAGACGCAAGGCTCCAGCAGCGAAGTATGAACTGGCCCGCACAAGAAGCATGACTCATAACGCTGAGACTGCAGCAGAAGCGTGTAAACCATAGTGCTAGCCTGAGCTCCACGGCTCATGCCCGGACTGAAACTGGCCTTCTCATTCTTTCATGTACCTACGTGCATCGGCAACAGTCACACTCGTCCACTCCAAGCTGCACAAGATGTGACCATCTGTACCAGCATCCAGAGTTCCTTGGCTTCAGCTACAATCTGAACATACCTAGACGAAAACCTTTGCAATGAGGACACTGCAAGACTGCACACATCGTGATTGTGGAAACTGCAAACCGTACCACTCTGCAGTGGGTCCAGCCAGGAGGCATGCATTCTAGTGATGATGCGGGCGGTTCTCGCTAGGCCTGAGTCTATTACAGAACTCCAGCGCTTCTGTTCCATCTCTCAGCTCATCCCGTTTCTTGCCAAGCTGCGCAATAATCTAAGTGTCCGCCTCAGCGGGCCATCGTCGCTCTATGCCAGAATGCAACTCATGGAACAAGGCACTGCAAACCGAGCGTCAATGTTAAGAAGCTGGACCACTCGCCCGTCTCGTCTGCAGGCGACATTGCCGCCTTCCACCCGATGGTGTGCTAAAAGAAAGCTCTTCGACGCTCCGACTTTTACAACAGCTTGTCCAACACCCTGGCTTTCTGCGACCCGGTTGCCGGCAGAATCCAGAGGACCAGCCAGCCCAAAATTACCTGTGACCATGGTTGTGATGAGGGGCACAACTTCTGCAGGAAACGATGCTTCCAAGCAACCAGAATTGTGTCAAATTTCACCCAATGGTCCCGAAGGGATTTGCATGGACCGTTCACAAAGAAGCGCAGGAAAATCTCAAGAGTGTAAATCACCTCAGTAGTTTTGATAGCGGCGGACTGTCGAGCTCAAACACCCAAAATCACAGACAATCAAACCAGCAAGAGTTACGAGGAAGATATGCTCCAAAACGTTCAGGGGACCGTCCTTGGTGTTGCCCTCGGATGCACGGATCTTCGCTCGTTGGAGTGGGTCTTCCATGCGCTCAACCCTTTCTAAAACCCCTGACTGATATCGCCTTTGGGGGATGAGTCTTTGGCATCAGAAACGGCGGATAGTGCATGAAAGCTCTGAGCTCCACATACTATCGCAAAACTCGAGTATGACCAAGCTTTTTCTGCGTGCGCCCGAACGCAACGAACGAGCAAGCCAAAGAAAGCTGCGTGCAAACAAGGCACGCCCTCAACACGGATATTCTGCTCCACGCCTATGGTGATTGCATTCGCGAGGATGATGACAATCATCACCTGGGTGGCCCGGCGCAAATCTGTCAAATCAAAGCCCAAACCACGCCAGCAGGGCCCTGTGAAAGCAGGATGAACAGATGTTCCGATGATGAGGAGTTGCGCATAACCTTCCACAATTATCCATGCCAATCCGTATCTTCGTTGCTAGCGGCTGTTGTGTTGCTATGATAGTCATCATGGTCATCGGTTGAATCCCCATTGCTTGAACCCCGAATCGAACCACGACGCATTGAATCTGCTCTGCTGCCTGTTCTCATTGGAGTACGCTCTCGTAATTCCCCCGCTCTTGCTAGCGCTCTCCACAGCTCCTGTGTGCACTCGGCACAAACACGTTCAGCTACTAACATCTAGGCTTTCCGATGGCCACCAGTCTGTGCCTGAACCTCCATGCCCGACTGTCTTTGCACTTGATTGTTATGGTTATAGTCATAGTAGTCGCGGAACCCTTGCCATGCGGCTCCTTCTGGGCGAGTCGCGATATCAAACGCCTCCGACTCCAGAACGGTCGCCGCCAGAAGCCTAGACTTGAGGCCTGCAGCTTGTTGCAGACACGCACGACATTACACCTGTGCCTCTTTTTCCCAGGGCAGCGACATCGATTTCCATTCAAGGCCCTAAGCCGGTCTTGTACTTGGCGATCCTTTTTCGGCATGCTGCTCCAGCCAGTGCCACCTTTGCGCGCTGGTGAAAAGCAACGCTGCAACGCTCCTAGTTTCTGAGCTCTCCGGAAAGGGCGAGAATCTAAACTCGGGCTCGCGCTTCGTTTCAAGCCTGGTCCTGGCTTACCCTCCTCTTCTTGGTCCCCATCCTCTTCTTGGACAGCCGCGTTGTCAGAGCCAGATCGCGAGGAAATGCCTGCCTGGCTCAAGGCACGAGACAAGGCTTTTTACAACGACTTGTAGTTGCTGAGACTCTCCAGCCTGGAACTCAGTTAAGCAAGAGCCGGACGGGGGGGTGCACATCACCCATAGAACAGCACGACAAGCTGGAATACGGGAAGCCTGTTGCATCATCTCCTTCCACCTTTGCTTCTGGGCCTCATCCTTAGCTGCCCCCAACTTGCAAGCACCTCTACGAAAAGCTGAATCTTCGGGGCCAGGTACATAAGAAGCTACCAACTCGGGGGGGTCTGGGCTGCGAGTCTTCCTTGCAGCAGGAGCGCAAGGCCGGGCTCCTCGTGCGCGAAACTGCCCGTGAGCCGCCGAAGGAATGATCCCTCTCTGGAGGGCGGCTGCTTGTCTGGCTTATCTGTTTGGACGTCCTGAGACATGCCCGTTGGCTACTCAACATCGTGAGCAGTGCCGTGACATCATCCACTCGCTGCTGCATTGCGCGTCTCTCTAAGGCATGGCACGAAAATTGAGAGCACACTCTGGCGCCTCCCGCCTAAGTGCACGTCTGTCAGAAATGGTTAGTTAGCCGGTCTTCGATCGTTTCTTTTTTATCAAGTGGCGCGGTGCGGGACTTTCTCCGGGCGGTTCTGCCACCTGTGTCCAACTACACGTCTGGAGCAGAATTGGAAGAACGACAGACAACACACAACAAGCAGGAGCCAAGTAAAGCTCAACATGGGATGCCTCGGCCGACTTCTGGACATCCTAGCCAGGGAAAAGAACCCCTTCTTCCAAGCACACACCTCTGGCTCACCACACTCGCCCGAAAGAAAACTGGGGAAGGCACCATGAAGATCACCTGCATTGACACACGCACGTGGTTGATGCCGGGAAGGCGATGCTTGCACTGCATGCCAATCTCTGTGGCGGCGCTGCAGAAACACATCTAGGTATCCCTTGGGTCCTGGGGCCATGGCTTACTCCCACGGGAGCAGTCCCACCTTTCTCCGAAGCTTGAACCGGAGTGGCACAAAGTGAGCATGAGCTGCCGGTGACAGCTGTCAAGGCTGCATGCTGCCCTTCTCCTGACCTACGAAGCGCTTTTTCTGCCGCAGCCACACCATCTCCATCGGAACTTTGCCTTTGGTTGGTCAGGGCAGGGCGAGATCCCACCTGGCACGATTGCAGCATCTTCTTGCTTCAGGGCTTGGGCAAAGCCTGCGCACCTTGCTAAACGCAGCAAGGAGGCGGCGCAAGGCAGCAGCTTCCGGACCTCCAATGAGGCCGGGGACAAAAGAAGGGTCTCTATAAGCACATCCCTGGGCCGCACCCGTCACCGCCCCAAGCGCTGCCATGGTGGCAGCCTCTGGGGCCGCCTTGGCCTGAAGACGCCGACGCAACACTGACATCCCACATCACCGTTCGAGCTCGGCCTGGAAGAGCAGTTCCAACACCTTGCGCAAGGCAAGACTTGCCGTAGCAGGGTGGCTCGCGCGAGAGGGTGGAGACGGTTTGGCCAATCGGAGGCCTGTATCCTTACTTTGCCCTCCAACAGAGTCCCGTGCGGATCGCGCAAAGGCGAGATCCTGAAGCTTCACGGCCACACGAAGTGCTGACCTTGGCAAAGCAGGAGACCAGGTACACTGTAGCAAAGGAATCGATCCGAGAAGGACGCTGCAAAAGCACCTCGCCAGGACCTCGATGCAACTTGGGTTGACGTTGAACTACATGCCCCAATTACCTCTTTGAGCCTCACGCGTGCTGGCATGTTCCTCATGTGGAACCATAGGCGCCGAAACTCTGTTGGCGAGGCGACCTCCAACGCCTGGTCTTCGTTTCAGGGAAGAGAAAGGATCCCAGAGTCGAGAAACTTCGCTGTACTCGGGGCGACGCTGACAAGACGATAGCGTAAGCCACTTCATCCGGCTCCACTCCAAGCTGTGACTGGCCTCGTCGCAATTTCTGCGGGCTGAAACCATGGCACCAATAAATGCCAATAAATCCATGGGGCTCATCATGAGCACTTCTTGTGCATGACCTGCCTCAGAGAAACCACATGGCTTGCTATGTCTGCGACCGTCACCATAACAAGCCTCCATGACAATCCGAAATTCTGGCTACTTTGCGTGCGTACTTCAAAGCACAGTCCAGGTTTCTGGCCAAGTCGGCAGAGCAATAAGCTGCAAGCCTGGCTCCACAATGTCCGAATTTGGGACACGGGCATGGCCAAGACAAGCCACGAGACTTCCCAATTAAAGCTCTGAGGCATCACCCTCCCGTTCCAACGTTTCGACACCAAACGTATTGAAACCCACAACCCCGTGGTCACAGCCGACTGCGCATCAATCTGTGCACCGAATTGCTCAGCTCGAGCTGTCTCTGGCTCGCTACCCAACCTAACAGCTGCCACCGGCTCTGAGCTCTGGGCAAGGCATGTAGCAGTTCCGCCGGCAGATGCGCTCCCTGCGCCTTGGCCTCCTGCACCTCCCGCCATGCCTGGGCTTTTGGTGCACGACTGTCAAGTGCACAAAAACCCCCCCGGTTTTTCCAAGGCGTTTGCATGCGAAAGAAGCCTCGTCCGCTCGCCACCTTTCCGGAACGGGAGGAAGTGCTGAGGGGCAATAAAGACATGCTTAGGAAATGGTCCTCGAGCCGTGGCCGCTGCTGCGCCGAAGGCTCGCACCAGGTCAGCTCGGATGCCTGAGCATCTACAGGAAAGCCGAACCGAGCGGCGTCAGCCGCCTGAGCAACTTGACCAAACGTGCCTGCATCAGGAACAATCCCGGCAGCCTGAATCACGAAAGCAGATTGGCTGCACATCTGCTATGAAGTCGACACAACACACCTTTCAGGGCCATACCATCATTCTCCTTCTGAGAAGTTTGGCCTTCACAGCGAAAGGCGGGGGGGAGAGTACACTGTGAGTACGCCGACATACTTACGGTCAATCTCTGAAGAGCCAGCAAGGTAAATGATTTATTGATTGATTGACTGCCTCTGGGTAGATATATGAGGACACAGGATAAATTCTCGACGGCGGGCTGCCTCATCCGCACGCCCGTCTTCTGCACAAGCACGTGCCAAAGCCACACACAGACGCTGCCCAAGACTGCCACGATGGCTTTTGAATTTCAAGGGCAAGGGTTGGAATAGCCCTGCAATTGGGTCGATCGGGCTTTATCATGTCGCTCTGTCAAACATGCCGGTGCCAGCGCTTCACCTCTCCGCGCTGCCTGCCATCGACGTTAGACACAGTTCATCAGCGAATCCAGCAGACGGGCCTACCAAGCAGTGTCACACGCAAGCATGCTGAACTTCTGAAAGGAGCCTCCCCTGCGACGGCGAAGGCGCTTCTGGCGGTGCGTCGTCTGCTTGATAAGGCTACGGCCTCAATCGGGCTGGGAAGGCGGTCTCGCCGATTCTGCTTGTAGGCTGCTTGCTCCGCCAGACATTGAGGAAGCATCAAGCTCAGCCCTCGCAGTCTCAGTCGGCTCAGACCTGGAAGCCTCAGTCGCCATCACCCAAGACGTGGTGCCGCGCCCAGGCATTGAGGCATTGAGGCTCTTGCCATCTCATCAAAGAGGCTCTGGGCCTGCTCGGGATCCTCGGCTTTCGAACTTTCAACTCCACCGGCTTTCCCCGCAAACTGCACCCCATCCTCTTTTCTCAGAACTTCGCACGCTACCTGGACCTCTCTCTCTGTCACTGATTCTCCCCAACTTTAAGCTGGGCTGAACCGGTGATGGTGGATTAACGGCCCTCGATCAGAAAGTTCCGAAGGCTCACGCCTCGGAGATCTGCCAAGGGGGGAATACGGTGCCACTTGGACACCCCAGCATTAACGGCGGCACTGCTTGCACCGTAGACTAGAGCCATGCAGGAGACAGCCACACAACTATACAAGCCCTGCCTCTGCCTCCGCCTGTAAACATCGCCACTTCTTTTCCACACCGGACCTGACCTGCAAACTTTAGGACTCAACGGCAAAAACGTTGTCATCGTTGCTGTCTCCGAAAGCGGGAAGCCGTGGGGACTTCGTTTGAGGTCCCATGGACTTTCAAGCCGGTTCTTGTGACCGGCACGCAACACCTTGCCTTGGCGGTCAGCTCATGAGCTGCAGCTACTGGTAGTTGAGGTTACATGCCAGCCATGGCCACATGTAACACGTGAGTCTTGCTTTCTGAGCTGGAGCTTTCACAAGCTTGGCCACGTCAAGAAGCTGACCGCCACATTTGTCATACATCACTGGGTTTAGAATTCCAACACCTGGAAGTAAACCTCAGCTGCGGGCAGGCTTGAGGAGATGCACAGAATGCCAACAGCCTCGAGATTTCTGAAAGTCGGACGGCCTCGTTCGTTACGACGATGGGATGAGGATGGCCGTAGTTGCCCATCCTAAGCTCTTTCCCTGCACGACCCAGCTTAGCGGTCTGCAGAAGAAACGCAAAGCCCGGTCAGGCCAAGTCTCTCATCCATGTATGCCCCATAGTTGCCTCGGCAGATGTTCTGCACAGAGCAATGGACTGGTCTTACGGGGCCTGTTTTGTGGCAGCCAGAGAGCCCAGATCGTCGAGCTCCACGGCGATAGTAATATTCTCACCGCGACAATCCTGAAAGCAAGTGATGGGCCGCACCCGAGCTGTCTCTAATTGAAGGCCGCGGGCACGTCGAGAATCTCCTCTTCAGTCCAAGCTACTCCTCCAGAGTGATAGAACAGCCTGCTCAGCTGGAGGTTCAGGTTTCTCAGCGTGGAGGTCACATCCATGTCCTTAGCAACCACCAGGAGACAACTTGCCCCGGAGCTGTAGTCAAAGGTGGAGGTGACGAACATCCCAGTCGGTATGATCGCAGCTTTTTATGTTTGCTGTATGTTTGACATCCCCTCCCATCCGATTCGGCAGATCTTTCTCGGGAACGATCCTGGCTACTCAAACAAAATGAATTAAGTGGGGGATGCCCCTCACTTTCGAAATGACCTGGCAGCTTCGACAGAGAAGGTATGGCATGCCTGTTAGATGTAAGGCCCCGTCCGTGTCATGGGCTCCATCTCCGCTGTGGAACGTGATTCCCTCCGTGCCAGCAATTGATCCATTCTGTACACCTGCAGCACAGGCAAGAAGAACCAGGCGGAACAAGGCGGGGCTCGATTACTTTCCACACACGAGCTACGGCAGCAAAGGCGCCAAGGACGTAGTCCTGTGGTCCGGCCATGAGAAAGGAAAGAGTTCCACAGGACGCACGCAGCTTCAGGCGAGCAGAGTGGATGCGCTGAGCAAACCAGCCGCCGGAGAAGTTCTCCTCATCCGGGTCGGACCTTTCAAAACAGCACCCACAGCGAGAGACTAAACAGATCAAAGGCAGAAAAACAACGTGGCGATTAAAATTGGCAAGTGCTGCATCTCAAAGATGTCATTATCCTGGGTTTGGGATGTGTTTAAAGATGTCAAAAGCCCAAATCAGAGTCTCGGAGTGACCACTATGTATGCTTGTATATCTTGTATGCTTTGGGTTGCGGGAGCACAAGAGTGCAATGCGGCGCCTCTCTCTAATTCTAGGTTCTAGATCGAAAAAACTGCTCGACACAGCCAAGGCCACAAGCGGATGACGCCATGTAGGTGGATGTCTTTGTGGGGCTTCACGAGACCGCCGTTCGTCGCAGAAAGTAGTCTGGACTCATCCACAGCAATCTCTGGTGCCGAGTTCACGGGGTGGACAATTAAGCCGATCTCGCACCGCGTCTCTTCTTCTGTCTCCAGGGCGACGACGCGCACTTCCAAATGCACAACACCATGGTACAGTTCCTGGCTGCTAGGAACATGATTCACCCTCTCCAAGCACTAAGATGACTCCACAGCTGGATCTTAGGTGTGGCCACGGCGTCGGTATTATCTGGTCCTATACGTATTGGTACCGAGGCTCTGGGAAAGGCGTGAAGACCAATGCACGAAGTGCCGCGCGGAAACCGGCGAGAGTGGTGTTGAAGACAAAGGCCGGCACTCCTTTGCAAAGGGCGCCAAACGCCACTGCAACGATCACTGCGACTACATTCGGCCCCCGAACCTGGTGACGAGCGATTGGAGTCGTCCACTGCGTGCGCATCGTACGTGTCGCTGCGCACTTCGTCGAGTGCTTCACGGAGGTCCAAAGCCAAATGAGGCACTGCTTCCAGGAGCAGATCAAGGCCACCATCCCCTCGCATCAAAACTAGTCTATAGTCTTATGAAGCGCACGTCAGGACACTGGCTACGAGTAGGGTTTGGAATCTGAGCCCATAGACCTGCAAAAATCTCGACACCGACTCGGCTGGATTCATCATCAAAGCCAGGGATAGGCTCATGATCACCTCGGGCTCGCCACGAAACACTGCACTGCTACGTGGGATATGCATGCCGCGCCAGCCAGGCCAGCTGAGAGGCGTATGGAGATGTTGGTGCCGATCGGAACTTGAACCTGGCCTTCAAACAGGTCCACTGCGGGTGGGCACACGATGGTGATTGGATCGCTCATTGTCTCGATCTCGACTTGGACACTGGTGTTCACAGAATACTCCTTGTGCTCAGCATTCTACGCAGATGTACCTGCCTGGTCCTGTTCGTACAATCTAGAGCCCGAGATAAATGCATCTGACACAGTCAAGACCATGCAAGCCTAGCGGCGCCGTCTGTAACCAGCATGTCCATCAAATCAGGACCATTGTAGTTCGGGTCCGGGAGATACTGAAGCTGAGAAAGAAAAGCGTTTAGTTCATGCAGCTTGGCTGTATACTCCACGCGTTTTCCATCCAAAGACGATTTTGGAATCGCCGCTGAGGAGATCGTGCGCACCCTTCCATGGGTTGTGGAAAGGAACACGGTCAAGTCCCGATCCACGAGGTTTTCCGCCGCTTTATGCTTGACCATGAACGACAAAAAGTTCGCGTGGTCTTCGAAAACATTCAAGAGACCACTCCTCGGCTCTAACATCACGATGCGAGGTGGCTCGTTGACGAAGCTGCGATGGACGGACAGGAAGGTCCCAGCCGTCAGCTCACCAGCCTCCACACTCTTAACACCTGCAGCAGCATACAATTGTGCGTCCAAGCTTTGATAGGCTTGCGGTGACTGCCAAAAGTACTGCGTTTCACTGCTATCGCTGTCTTCCATGTTCCCCGAAAAGGCATGGTCATATGCAACACAGTACTCGAAGAAGTTGTCGTACGGTGTCTGCGTCAAGCCCAAACATGGAGGCGGAGTGTCAGCAACAAACGACCAGCTGCCAGTAGACAAGACCCGGGCGCGTCTTGATGCCTCTGCCAAGGAACCACCAAAGCTGAAACTTAGAGCCGGAGCATCAAGCGCCTGAACCCCAACCAAGTGAGGGAAGGGATGGTGAGTTTCTCTGGGTCGTGCGCCGCCCAATCCTTCCGGTCCACCCGCAACCGATCCTGACGGTTCATCACACTGAGCAAGGTCTCCAGCTTCCAGGGCTCTTGGCCACAGCCTCGCGCGAGACAGCACGAGCCCACCAGATTTCCCCACGGAGACTTGCAGTGCGCTGCGGCGGGTTGGCCCTACAAACCTCTGCGGGGCTCTCCACCGGTATGCAGCATCAAGTTTCTTGTCCACATAGAGTGCCACCTCGCCTGCAGTAGTGTCTGCTTCCGACTCTGCCGGAGGAATGTCTACATCTCGGCTTCTGCGCCTCACAACGAGCGCCAGGTGGTACCAGGTACCTTCTTCTAGAAATGCCCTGCCACTTCCCTGCAGCCGGCCTTCCTCCGACAGAAGTGTAAACTTAAGGCGACCATCGCTTCCGATCGAAAACGAGCACAGTGGCCTGTCGCTCGCATTCTCTGAACCCCAAAAAGGGTCATCGACACCAGCAGAAATATTGTCACCCAAATAATCGTTTCTGAGAAGCAAACCATCAAAGGCAGATTCCAGGTCGTAAGGCTGGAATGTGGGAGGAGGAGGCGTCGTCCCAAACGTTGTGGGATGAATATCGTCGATGCTGGGCATCACTTTACCATACAACTCCCAAGTGAAGTCCTGTGAAAAAAGGCTGTGATGCCACAGGGTGTCCTCAGGCACGATGGTCATTGTTCCTCCCTTCAGTAAGACGGATTGCGGGGAAATGTCTTCATGATGCATGTCGCTGTAACTGTTGACGTTCCAACCTCTGTTTCCTAAATCGGAGACAGAAATTGAAACACCAGTGGTGCCATACCAGTTGACGTCCCGGAAGATAAAAAACAGGTCTTGTAATTCCACATTGAGTTCTGCAAGCGTCATGCGCTTCTGCACGTATGTGCCTGAAAGGAACAGGAACGCAGAAAAAGGAGCTGTGAACAAAACCCTCAAACTCCCGCTCGCCCCGGCCTTGGGTGCCGGCAAAGGACACAGCACCCCCGCCCGAGTCAGACTCAACAGAGATGATAACTTCAAACTCGTCTTGCGCCCTGGCATCGGGATCTATCACCGAAACGCCATACAGGTTCACGTCGTCCTGCATCTGCGTGACGGAGTAGTGGTCGACGTCCATGAAGACTAGAGGTGCGCGGTTCACACGCCGGATGACTACAGGGAAGTCGATGCTGTCACTAGGATATGGTTTCCCATGATACAG